TATATATATATATATATATATATGTATATTGATAACAGTTGATTGAAATTATGATTAAATGTACAGTAGGCAACTGCAACACATTCTGTTGACACAAAATGTGTTCAAGAATTTTATTTTTATGTTTATCCTATTGAGTATTCAAACAACATACATAATGAAACTGGCTAACTGGCTACTTCATTATTTCCAATTACAATTATGATATGTTTTAAACATTCAACAGTTACTTCATTAGGGTTTTCTTATGGCTAAGCTTTCTCTAAAAATTCTTGTCAGTCGATGATGAAGAACTAATAAAAAAAAGAAGCATTGTGTATTCTAGATCATCAAGTCATTCGTAGTTGGGTATTACATCTTCTGCAATTTCATTAACATACACCTTACTCTGTGTTGAAGTTACAATGTGGTTGTACACATATGACAAAACTGATACACACTCCAGCATGAATGGTAAGTTAACTTGTTAGGATGTACAGATGGGTTAATGTTATGTAAATCTGACTATTTTATTTCATTGTTTTCAAACATTAATCTACATTTAGTACATTTTTCTCATATAGAAGCAGACAAATCCACTTCTTTATAAACAAAACACTGCTTGCTACGTATCCTTTGTAACAGGTAACACATGATTTGTCCTGCTAGCTGTAATGTTGTAATGTCAACAGAATACTGATGCATTAAAATAATTCATAATCAAATGATGTAACTTTTTTTACACCATAAACTAAAAATACCTTAAGAAAACTGCTGATAATTTTTATGAAATACTTTCTTTGAAAATGCAGCAATAATCTATCAACATCAGACCTAACTGATCAGATCACAATAGTGCCTTACCATCTATTTTTACTTAAAATCATAACTTTCAACAACACTTAGTATACTGGGATTTTTACCATGGTAACTTCATCCTGATGTTCTTCATATGCAGTTCTCTTTCTGTTTAGTAGTGGATCGAGACACATCAAGAACAACATGTAAACGACTAACACAGAAATAGCCCAGATAATGATAATCACAACCACCTAACAAAAAAAAGAGCAAAAAAAAGCACTGTTTTAATTGAGCTTTCTTTTTTGATTGCTTTCAATTTTATTAAGCACTAATATTAATTCAAATCAACTTATGAAGAGCATTTCATTGCTTAGAATGTTAAATATAAAATAAATCTATAAACTGATATGCTATGATTAACTAGGTTCCCGTACACAATGACAATTTTATGTAGTAATTGGAGAATAATTTACAGTGTTAGTGTAAAAATGGCAATTTTATTGTTAATGTTTGACAAATTATCACATTATAATGTCTTTAAGCAAAATGAGCATGACTAAAACTAATACTTTTAGTTTTATTATGAAAAAGTAAAATAAATTTGAAACTTTAGGACATATAGCAGGAGCTCTCCATTTAGCGTCACCATAATAATCTATTAAAAAAGCCAAGTTGCTTGATAGGTTTCTACTCATAAATTCTGTTTGTACAGTTAGAATTATTTTATTATTGTTTATATATATATATATTCGGATGTTGGTGTAC